GATTGCTACCGCGCAACATGTACCTACAACCACACTCCCATCGTACTTCTGGATTTTAAAATCTTCGAAGAATCCCTCCACAGTTCGGTCCGACAGCAATTAGCGACAAAATTACTGCGTCGTACAGACTTTAAGAAACTATGACGTACGACAACGATACCGAAGATAGAGGCACGTCCGGTTCGCGAACACCGCTCCTGGGAAGTTCATCGCACCAGAGGATAGGACAAGAGAGTGAAGGTCGCAGATGGACGTTGATGACGGTGTTACAATTCTTCGGTGGGGGTATCTACGCTCCTGACCCGACCACGTACGACCCCCTGGAAATCCTTCTGAATACTGAAGATGAAGACGAGCGAGATGGCCTTACTATACGATGGAGAGACAACAAATTGAGTGAGCTCAACTTTGTTGGTGTTGTTGTAAGTCACTGGGGGATTCTCGTATATGATCACACAACCGCAATTAGGCTCTCCAGATGTCGCCCGCTTCTTGTCGAACGTCTATGATTGAGATGGGCACGGTCTCACATCCCTCTCTTCTATTGGTAGCCTTTGGTGCTTTGTCCAACGTCCTGTATGCTGACGTTATGCAGTCTGCTCTTTTAGCAGGCGTTCTTACCTCTACAGGGAGCTGGCCTAATATCCTACCAAATGGAAAAGAGTCGCCATGGTCTGTGCGCACTTCGTGGTATTGTGGTATCATACTATCGCTTTTCAGTATTCTTACAGCTGCCGATCAAACCGTACGATTGCACCGCCTTTCGTCACATCGGGATGGACTAAGCAACATACGCAAGTTACTTTCCAAGACCAATGGCGAGAGGAAACACTCATCAAAGACTGGCCGTCGGACGCCTAGCTTGCTCCAAATCGTCACATGGCAAATGCCAGTGATGTTTCTAACATCGGCTACCCTCTGCATGATCGTTGGGATGTTTCTTCACGTCTGGTCTGCAACCACGCACTTGAAGCATCCGACCATGTGGGACGATAACACCAAGGTATGTTCCCATAGCGGCTGTCTTGTAAAATACTCTAATTCGCCCCCTAAGGTTGCGGTCACGTACAGTACAGTCGCTATCATTGCAGTCGCATTGTTTTTCGTCGGCCAGGTCTCACTATACTCGCCGCTCCGAAGATAACGGCAAGTATAACAGTGGATATGCTAAAAGTTCTGAGGATATGTTGGGCGACTCTCTTCTACTCGGATTGGAAAGTCTACGTGCCGCCTCCGCCCATGACCATTTTGATCTCGAACAGATATCGACCGTATTTGGCACATTCTGGAGAACTGTTCTCATGCTCGTTTGTTCATCATCCAGTGTCTTCTCGACTGTTCCGCTTGCGACGCCTTACAATTTTCTGTTTGCTTGTTTCCAGTGCGCAGTCCGCCTGACCTGACTACGCAATTCATAGAAGGCTAAAAGACAGCGAAAGCGCATTGACCAAAGCTTTCCCATTTAGCTAATCACTTTCATTAGAAAATCCTACCACGTGACGCTTATGTTCGCATGTAGCCGAGCCGCGCTCCTTTCTTACAGACTTTCCCTTTCTCTTATAAAGGCCCGTTTATATGTATTCTCTGACTTATATCAGTGCGCTAATTAGCTCCTCCCATTATCTTATAAGTTCTTCCGGTATTCGACTATATTTCGGATTCCATTGAACATTCCCAACACGACCATCGATAGCAACTCACGCTTTGCGATAACCACTTCCTACGTACTACCATAGACATCTTACCCTTACTCAGCAAATCATGACGACTGTATCGGTAGCTGGTTCGTACGAGCAGTACAAACTCGACACTAGCCGCTTCATCTTCTGGCTTGTCGTTACTGCGCGCGACAACGGGTACAGGATTGATGACCCGGCTATACATCAGAATATGACTCAACAGCAGCCTTCGAAGCGACTGAAAGGCAAAGAGAGGAAGCAAGCCAAAGAAACGGCTGCCAGCAAAGCTGCCTCTTCAACTGCATCCTTGACCACTTCGAAGGGCAAGTACTCCATTTCCACGGAGACGATCCTCAAAATGGCGAGACACATCGCGGCGAAGAAGATGTCCTCGACAATGCCTAAGTTTGTTTGGTATTCCTATAAGCGGGCTGTGAGAACACGCCAGGCGTACGCAGAACGCTATGCCCAGGAGGAATTGTCGGAGAGGACTTCGGACAGTGGGCACATCTACTTTCTGTGGTTATTGAGACACTGCCACGAGATACTCGAGAATAAGGTTAAAGTGCAATCAGTTGCCAAACCTGTTGCCGCTAAATCCGCCGACCTTCGATATAGCATCGCGACTACGCCCATGTCAGTGGTAACTCCCAACCCGACGCCTGCATCTACGCTAGAGGTTGGTAAAACCAATCTAGACATCGTGACCAACGAGAACGCGGCTGCTGAGGCAGAACAGGAGGCTGTGGGCAATAAGCTGGACGAGCTTGCTCGCAAGTTCGAGCTTAATCTGGAGACAGAAAGTGAAGAAGACATAGACACAAAGCGCAATGTAGAGCTGGAAAACAGGACTACAGAAGAGTTGGCTTTGAGAAAGTCTTGTCTGGCAGACGACATGCGCAAGGCCGTCATCCAGCTGGAGCATGACTGGAAGGATACATACAAGAATGCTGACGCTGATCATTATTTGGATGAAGTCCGAGCTACGCTCATGACAGAAGCCGCATTCGACCTTATACGTCACAAGGAGGAGGGTTTGGTTCAAGAGGCTGAAGAGAAGGATTTACCGGCGTTCGACCCCTCTCTCGATATGGATGAGTTTTTCGGCAAGAGTGCGAGGTCGCTCGAAAGGATCGAATCGGAACGGAGAAAATCCACCCCAGGTTACTTGTTTCTAGCAGCATGCCTGAGTGACCAGGATATTTCCACACAGCGATATTCTGACGATCATGAGTTCCTCGTCCATTATCTACATGAATCAGGATTAGAACATGTAAGCCCTTCTGATCTTGCATTAGTACTCATTTCTCTACTAGAAACTAATTGGATGTTAGAAAGTCAGAAAGCGACACGAAAAGGGCTTCAATATGCCGATATTGGATGGGGCATTCGATGCGCTTTCCCGAATCTATGGCTTCCTAGGTACTTGGGAACATGTTTCGATGAACACTACCTTCGCCGCTGAAGTGGTCATACGGATCCGATCGAACGATAAAGCCCATTTATTGAAGCATTATATGCCAATGCAAATTAGGGCAGCGGAAGAGGAAAAACAGTTCGCATCCTGGCAAAATCAAAATATCAAATTCGATAGGAACAGCTGGCAAGTCACAGAATCAGCACGTACACATCGATCCTTCATCATAGGTCGACCGTTCTCTCCCATGCGATACGCCGAGATGCGACTGTTGAAGTCTACGCACCTACTCTACGGCTTACAGTACGACTATCCGAAGCCAGCTTTCACAAATAAAGAAGCTCGGAATGAGCTCATGGAACGTCTCGAGAACCAAGGCATCGAGGATAGCGCTGGAAACTCGGTTATGCGCCAAGCGTTTGCAGCTCACTATATACTTCCACCGAAAGATGGCGATTTCCTGCGGAACACGATTCCGACACTAAGAGCGAAACTTTCCTTGACCCAGCTTCTATTGCGCGAAGAAATGGGACATGGTTTCGCAAACGCTAGTCCGCAAATATTTGCCCTTTGTCACTTGTACAATTGCTTTCGTAAGCTGGGCTTGATCACTGGCACTTGGCCAAACATCGAGCAGATGGTGGAGTGGCACCTGGAGGAGATCTTTCTCAATGAAGTGCCCACCAGGCCTAACGAGTTCTACTCACGGCTACTTCTTGCAACAGGCTATTCTTCCAAAGTAATAAAGAAAGTTCGGAACCTGAAAGAGAACCCTGACCGATACATCGATTTCGGGAAACCCACCAACAAGACGAGCGAGTTGAAACCACTTCCAATGACAAGGATACTCCGTGACTATGTCCATGAGAGGGAGAAGGGAGTGCATATCTGGCATCGTATGAATAAGGAGATGACCAAGAACTCCGGAAACTCTTTGCTGAAGCAAGATACTAGCAACCTGGACATCTTGTCGTTCATCAAGGAGATGCGTAACTCTGGACAACTCCTTCAAGTTCTTCCCCGCCTAGAGTTTGACTACATCAGCCTAACGCTGCAGTGCAACGAGCTTTGTCACAAGATCGATGTTGGACAAGAGAAGGTTTTTGGGAGTAGGACAGCACAGGACGAGGCTCATTGGAAGTCACCTACTCAGCATGGTTTCTCAATTGTTTCAACACTTCTCGGAGATCTCGACCGCATATTTCTTCTGAAAGAAAATGGGCGCAAGCAAGATAAGGGCATCGCGGATACGACGCCCGTCGTCGACGTAGCGGTTCGGGTCATGCAGGAATTTATTGATGGACTGAATGACTAAAGCATTCAGCTGCCCATTGCAGAAAGGGTGTAAGACTGCGAGAAGCACTGCATTGGTTGCTAGCACCGCAGTATACATTGAACCACAAATAGTCGGAATGTTAATTGTCTCAGCGATTAATTTTGAATGAACCATTGTCAAATATTGCCGATGAGGTTGTGATCGAATAACCCGCAATACCATAATGAAGGGCCGTATCGACTCCCATGCCTGAATCATGGTCGTGACCACAATCTGAACTGATTCACTACAGCGCAACCAGTCCGGCTCCCCGCCTTTGCAACAATAAACTCATATTAGTTGTTATGCAAGCCTCACTGTGCATCTGCTGCCTCATTGAGATTCCGATATTCACGTCAGCCAATGACATCGAGACACACGAGCTGCGGCTGAACAGAAGCTCGGGATCACAACATCAAAAATGGATCATCGTATCTGCACTCCGCTTTTCTCGTGTTCGTGATCACCCGCGCTGCTTTGCTGCCTTTACTCATCGCGGGGAGCCAGTATCTTCGAAAGAAGCTTAAGATGGCGCTCATGTCACATACGGTAGTATCCGTTGACAACCAGACCCTGGGGTTTCTGCGAAATGGGGCTCCTTACATCGTTTTCCGCATGGTATCTCGTGTTTGGTGTTATAACTGCATATGAATATCTAAGCAATCCATGTGCAGACTTAGCCTTGATACTTCCAAACAGCACCTTCTTCCCCACAACGCCGACGTACAATGCATCCATCCACTCCTACCCGTTCCTTCAACTTCGGCTACATCCATCCTGCATCATTCGTCCAAGCTCCGCAAAGGATGTATCTACTGCCATCACCACTCTGCTGCAGAATAATAACACCAAGTTTGCGATTAGGAGTGGTGGTCACAATGCAAACGCCGGCTTCAACAACATCGACGGCGGTGTGACAATCGATATGCAAAGCATGAACAAGGTAGAAGTTGCAAGAGGGGATCAGGTTGTGGCGGTCGAGGCTGGAGCGCTGTGGCAGAATGTATACGACAAGGCCGAGAAGCGTAACCTAACGGTACTTGGTGGCCGCATCGGCGTCGTAGGAACCGCTGGCTTCTTGACCGGAGGTAAATGCACCCTTCTTCTAGTGGTCCAGTTGAGACAGAAGACTGACGAACATTGTTCAGGCGGAATTTCCTTCTTTAGCCCGGAGCGTGGTTGGGCGTGTGACGGCGTCATCAACTTTGAAGTCGTACTTGCAAGCGGGAATATCATCAACGCGAATGCGACATCGCACTCTGATCTCTTCGTCGCACTCAAAGGAGGGCAGAGCAATTTCGGAGTTGTCACGCGCTTCGACTTGAAAGCCTTCTCCGCCGGTCCTATCTACGGCGGAAGGATTGTTTTCGGAGCCAATGCTACCACGCCTCTACTTTCTGCATACACGGAGCTTAAATTAGGGGAGTATGATCCGTACGCAGCGGGCTGGGTCACAGTGCGATATAACCATACGGCAGCGACATTTACTCCGGTCAGCATTATGTGGAACACGCGGCCACCAAAACTTGGCACGTTGAGGAGTATCGTCGAAGTGAAGCCGCAGGTCATGAACGGCATGATCGAAGCGCCCATCAGTGAGCATACCAGGAATGCATCCAGACAAGTGGCCGCGAACCCTCAAAGGACAATTTGGGCAACGACATCATTTTCAATCTCCTCGACGATCATACATCGCATCCACAGCCTCTGGAAAGACGTCGTACCTGGAATCGCAGCCCAGTATGCCTATGCCAAGCCAGTTGCAGAAATAACCTTCCAAGCTCTTCCCGCACCACCTCGCAATGGCACAACACCGAACAGCCTAGGTTTTGGACCAGATGAGACACCAGAGAAAGACCTCGTATTCTTGCAGATAATCTTCACGTTCGAAGGTGCTGCCGCTACCGATGGGTTCGAAGAGGCTTTGAAGGATTTGGTAAGGCTGATCGAAGGCTTAACGAAGAAGGAGGGTGTGTTCCATCCATACAAATATCTCAACTTTGCGGCATCCTTTCAGGATCCGTTGGCAAGCTATGGCGGTATCGAATTGAGGAGAATGAAGAAAGTGGCGAGGAAGTATGATCCGACAGGCGTGTTTCAGACGCAGGTACCTGGAGGGGTCAAGCTGTTTTGATCGCGTACGTTGCGTTCTTCTTTTGGGTTACTACCACGAGAAATTGGGGTGGTTGGAGGAATTGGTGCGTGCGTTGCTACCCCTTTCGCAGCTGAGATAGCGACGTCATTGTAGTGCAGGGGCTATCCCATCTTGAGCATGACCCATTCTCGCATCCCAACTACTCAACGCATCGTTGGGCTGCACTCAATGCAATGATTCAACGCGAAAGTCTATTGGTGTCTTTCTAGAACAAATGCAGGAGCAAAGCAGTCAACCACGACCACACTAGGGAGCACACTACATCGCACGCCCTTTTATACTAGTGTCGTGAACATTGTGAACCATTACAATGCCTCGTTCTCTAGTAGGACTATCTACCGATACATCGCAATCGGACTTTATTCATTTCATGGTCCGTTTAGGTCGTTACTTTCACGATATGCGTGACGGTGAAGTGCCCATGGAAGTGCGACACTGATCACATCCTCACAGTTGCATTCATTCACTCTTTGGCAATGATTTAGAACCCTTGCTCACGTTCATCGTTGTAATATGGCTATGCTCACTACACTAATCTTCAACACACTATCACAGCTCTACAGAGACTGCCAACGCAAGCGACTGTATCAGGCTTTGGAAGACTTCCCATCGTCATTTTTCCAGATCAGCAACAAGTTGATTTCTCGAGACACAATCAAAACATCGGCAACTAGGTGACAATTTTTGCAGCATATACGGATATACCGGCGACTCTCCCTCGACTGACCACTACCTAAACATCTGAAACGAACTCACGGCGGCTCACATACACCGACTTACGACTTCCTATCACACCGCATACCAGTTGTTTCACTATGCATCCTGGACTCGTTACTGTCATGGTACTTGCAGCGACATTAGAGATTTGGCTGGTCTTTGCACTCATGTATGCCGCACTACAAAGACACGGTGGACGTAATTATTGTGGAAGGACCAAGGACGCTTTGCGACTCCGATTGTAGTCGGCAAAACGAAAGAAAGTAGACGTATGCACTTGAAAGCATGAAGCTTCAGCGTTAACGATGTACCGCTTGGCCTGAGGCAGAGTTCTTATGACTAGGAAATACGCCGCACGGCATGAGCCTGAGCCTGTACTAAAGGCGCAGTAGTTTTATGTTCTCGGTGTAATCTATAACTCTAGCTCGTTAATCATTTGTTCTCCTGTTAACCCTGCGAGCAAGTTCTTGACACTTTCAGTAGCCATCTGTTCCCTTGTCTCAATCGTTGCGCTCCCAATATGCGGCACAAGTACAGCTCGCGGCTGACTCAGGATCGGGTGATCAGCTTTGATGTTCGGTTCATTCTCAATAACATCCAGACCGGCACCGAATATTTGCTCCTGATCTAGCGCTTTTACCAAGGCGTCGGTGTCGATGATGGGGCCTCGTGCGATGTTGACGATGACAGCTAGTTTCTTCATCTTTGCAAAGAAGTCTGTGCTTACGAGGTGTTTCGTGTCTGGTGTGAGCGCACATCCGACAACGACTACGTCGCTCTCTTTTGCGAGTTGGTCTATGCTGCCCGCTGGCTCAATGGGGATAGTAGCATTCCGGATAAGGCCAAAGTGATCTTCCTTTACAGGTTTTCCAGGTTTGGACGTAAGATAGATAACTTTTTTGATGCCGAATGGAAGTAGTCTTTGCAGTGAAGCTTGCGCAATTCGACCAAAGCTCAAGAAACCAATTGTCGATCCACGGATTTGTGGACCAGTCATGAGCAGAGGATGCCACGGCATTTGGGGCCATTCACCCTTTGTGACCTTTGTCATGGATTCTCCGACTCTTCTCTGAGCCATGAGGATGAGCATGACCGTGAGATCTGCCACGGCATCGGTGAGACATGTTGGTGTGTAGCCGAGGCGTACATTGCGCTCCTTGAGCGCGTTTCGGTCAACATGATCAGTACCGACCGAAAACGAAGCGATGACCTTGAGTTGAGATCCAGCAGCTTCCAAAAGCTCTTCGTCGACTTTGTCTGTGAGCATAACTAGGATGCCACTTGCACCTTTGGCGTTCTCAAGCAACCAGGAGCGTGGGCATGGCTGCATACATCTTGTGAGCAAAGCAAGTCTCTGTCGCCAGTAATAAAACACACCTTTTCGGATTGCCATTGCACAACTTCCAGATCCTCCTTCTTTGCATCGAGTATTCTTTGTGCTTCTTCGATTAATTGACGCGTTACAACAACTTTTGTCTTCGCCATGTTGGTGTTGGTGCGTGCAGCTGAAGGCTCGCTGCAGTCTGCGGGACGCGGGGTTGGCGGGGTAGAGCTGGACTTGGTCTCAATAACACCGTCACGAGGGGTGTGCGAAAGATGCAACGAGACTTGCGATAGCCTTTGCATTGAAGCCAAACCGGTGCCAAAGTGTTACCTTCTGGAGACACCCGTCCTCATAAGCTCGCTGCCGGACGCCTTTGGCCCGAATCATCCGCCAATAAGCGCTGAGGAAGAAAAGGCGACTGCTCCACTTGGACGGTCTCTCTGCACTTCTTTACGGTCATCTACTAGAAGATCACAACTTGTCCAGTTGTTATCGTGAATCTCAAGCTTTGAAAACCGAATACTTGGGCAGTCAATACCTGGCCACCGTTGTACAGTAGACAAGTCGGGAAGTAACATATCCCCTAAAGTAGCATGTACAGCCGACAAGCGCCCCACTTTTACGATATCACGTCCTCTCCGCCCATCTCTATCAACTTCATGTATTTAGCTCCGAGGGTTCTTGCGTATCTCGGAGAGGACTTCTGGTCATCATATTCTCCAACTTATCTATACTTATCTTCAATCAAAAGCAATCATGGAAGAACGAGCGCGCATCCCCGTTGCGCCACCTATCACGACACCATTATCTTCATACTGGCACAACCCAAAGTCGCCTTTTGCAAATGTCATCGAACCTGAGGTGGATAAGGGTGCACAAGTCTACGATTATGCCATTATCGGGTCTGGTATCTCCGGCACGGCGATCGCCTATAACATTCTGAACGCTTTGCCTAATGCGCGGGTGGTGATGTTGGAGGCACGTGAGATATGCTCAGGTGCGACGGGTCGCAATGGTGGGCACACGAAAGCGGCAAGCTATCGCAGCTACACGCATCATGCCCAAGAGCTTGGCAAGGCAGAGGCACTGAAGATCGCGAGATTAGAGTATGCTAACATTGTTGAGACGCATAGCATAGCAAAGGACCTGGGCTTGAGGTGCGAGAGTACGTTGTGCAATACGGTCGATCTCATCTACGACAAACCCACTTTCGAGGCGGGAAAGCTGGCAATTCAGATGCTGCGAGCTGACGCAGACGAGCATGAGAAGGAAGTGGGAAAGATGGCATGGTACCAAATACACGAGGAGGTTGCGGATATCCAGAATAAGTTCTCTGTTGCAACAAGGAACAGCAATTCCACAGTCTCGTCAAAAGAGCAGCTTCAAGGCGCCTTTGAGTACCTAGCTGGACGAATACACGCATACCAGTTTACAACCGGGTTATTAAGACAGTGCGTTGAGAAAGGACTGCACTTGTGTACAAACACGCCAGTGCATGATATCCGCCCGTCGGTAAAATCAAACAGCGAGACTGGTACTCATTGGGATGTTGTCAGCCAGCACAACACTGTCACAACAGGAAATGTCATTATCGCAACCAACGGCTACACACCCTATATCATGAAAGAGCTCCAAGGCGCTATCGTACCAATGCGCGGACAAATCACCGCACAACGACCAGGAACGGCAACAAAGCTTCCATGTCCGCTACCGACGACGTACTCATTCATCTATCGTGACGGCTATGAATACATGATTCCGCGGCCGTTGTCGAATGGTGGGCAACACATAGTTATTGGCGGTGGCTTAGGTCGTCTTCCTGCAGCCGGCCCAAGCGAGTACGGGACAGTTGACGATGGTAACTTGAACCCAGAGATCTCCAAATATCTCTACGAGAGCTTGACTGGATATTTTGGCGCTGAGAATTGGGGTGAAGCGTCTAAAGAAGAAGAAGCGTGCCGTGTGGTGCAGGAGTGGACGGGCATAATGGGTGCTACAGCCGATGGACGACCATTTGTAGGCGAGGTGCCAGGCAAGAAGGGTATGTGGATATCTGCAGGCTTCAACGGTCATGGGATGGTGCTGTGTCTCAAGTCGGCGGAGGCGCTGGTGAAGATGATGGGAGCTGGTCACAAGAGTAAAGCACCGGATTGGTTTCCCGAAAGCTTTTTGCTCACACAAGATCGGCTGGCGAAGTGCAGATTCCAAGGTCGCACCGATATGCAGGTACCCAAATGAGGGGCTACCGGCTTAGACATAGCATTGATGAGTATGATTGTTGAAAAGCAGCTGAAACAGGCGTGTCAATTGTGTTCACGTGAGTGCAGCGTCGTACAGAGGATTGCGAATACCATGACAAAGGTCTTGTGGATGGCCCAATAGACATAGGGCGACTGTCGTGGCAGAGCTGGGATGGAGGTGAATGCTATAGACAGTTGGGGTCTTGGGCGACTTGGTTGATGTAGCCCCACTTGGCGCGAAACGTCATCAGTGGCGGCGGAACATTCCAAGCCACGGTCACTGCGCGGCTATCACGAGCCCAGAGCTTCAACAGGCGCGACTTGCCCCGTATAGACACCAACACACTCGACATAGACGCACCAGACGAAGCACTACAGCCAAAATGTCTGAGAAAACCAGCACTGACAAGGTAAGCCAAATAGCAAGTACAAGGGAGCTCCCCCACTAACAGTCGACAGCCTCCCGAGAGCCCAACGACGGCGCGCGAGCTCGACTTTGACGACGACAACGACACTTCGGCTGTCTCGGCGCAGGAGAACACCAAATCACCATCGCCAGGCTCCAAGTCGCCCAAGCCCGGCGTGCGCTTCAACGAAGAGGCCACCGAGATCCCTCCCCAGAAGCCACCGCGACCAGTGGATCCCCAAGTGCAGGCGCAGAACACGCTGATTGAGGCTTTCCCCAGCGTTGACGCCAATGTTGTTAAGGCGGTTCTGGTGGCCAGCGGGGGCAAGGTCGAGCCTGCCTTCAACGCGCTGCTGAGTATGTGGCTGCCTGTTGCTAGCATGTGGGTGAGGGGTATAGCTAACCAGCGCAGGCATGTCGGATCCCAACTTCAAGGCCGAGGAGGCCCCTCCACCGCAGCCACCGCGACCCCAGCCCCGTAGCCAGCTGGAGCAGGACGAGATATACGCGCGACAACTGGCCCAGCACTACCAAAGCCAAGGCGGCCCCGGCGCACAGGGAGGTTATGCATCGCGTGGCCAAGCGCAGCGACAACGGCCTGGCGAACCCGACCGGGAGCACAGCTTCTTCGATGGTAGGCTGAGACGGTATCCATGCAGGTGTGCTCGCTAACACCAAGGCAGACGACCTCCCCGAGATTCGCAAGAACATCGAGCAAGGATTCAAGGAGACGCAGAAGACGGTCACAAACTGGATCAGCAACTTCACCAAGAAGCTTGACAGCGGTGAGATGGAAGAGTACGACAGGTACGGCAATGTGCAGTACACGGGACGCCAGCCACCACCACAGCAGAGGCAGAACTTTGGCCCATCCCAGTCAGATCAGATGTATGGCATCCGCAAGTCGGCTGAACAGCGACGGTCGGCAGACCACAACCGCTACGATGCCGACAACCGAGTCATTGGCGACGACTTTGCAAAGCTCGAGCTGAGAGACAACGAGGGTATGTTGGACGCACCATGCATGCAAACCGCCGCTAACAAGTCGCAGGGCCTGGCCCACGATCGTCGAGTCGTCCAAACGCGAACCCCGACCTCTTCAAGCCCACACCGGTATCCCCACCCCAGAGCGGCCCTGTTGACGAAGTCGATGCCCTCTACCGCAACCCATCACCCAACAACCAGGGCGGCCAGGGCAAATCGAGCGGCAAGAAATGGCAACCCCTCACCTCCATCGCGCCCAACCCAGAGCCTGACGACCATGACCCTTTTTCTCTTGGCGACAGCGATGATGAGGACAAGGACCTGAAGAAGCAGGACACGAACCCCGAAGATACTGAGAGGCTGAAGAACGCTGCTCAGAACAGCCCAGGCCCAACAACCGGCAAGCTCAGGCCTGCAGAGCGAAGTGGAAGTGTCAGTCAGAAGGACGCTACCATGGAGGCATTACTGAAGGAAGCGAAATAACAAGCCATTTTCCATTGCCTGATGAGGCGTGGGACCCGGCAATACCATGTGGATTTGGTAGCCTGGTATACATCTCGTCTGCTGCATACTCGTAGGTAGGATGAGTCTCAACTTTACTTGATCCACTGGGAATACTGGTCCATGATTGCATATCCTCCCGTCTTGTCTCTTCGCGTTGAATCCCTTTGAATTCTGCAGCATGTAGCACGTTTAGCGTTTCTCCAACCAACAGCTCGCCCGCAGCATACCCTGACATCAGGAAATAGACTGACTTGAGGATCGGACCAAGTGACATTGGTGGCGGACCGAATCCATCTGCCTTGAACGTCTTCTCTACCCACATATCCGGACGGGCGTGTGTAAATCATCTTCAAAGCAAGGGTACATCCGCCCACGTGCGCATCGAGCTGAGGTGAGCTGTCATGTTAGGCCGGGTATATGTGTTCAGAGTTCAGATACACCGCCCCTAGACTTACCTCTTTGGACCCTGAAAAGGTTTCTGGGCGTCTTGTGGATTCACGCCTAATACGCCACGCTTTCCCAGCACTCAGCGTCTACCGCTTTTTACGGATGGGGTGATTGCTTCGATATGTTGCTCCCATAGTATCTGGCTGTGTCAGGCAAGCTTGTCTTAGCCCCATCGTTGAACACTTCCTTACCATCTCGACTTGGGCCCTACCACTCAGATCTCTTCTACCGTCTTCTAAGCTCTCAACCTTCAGAAACATCGATACAACCATGTGATCGAATTGGAAATCGTTCGTATCGATTACGAATCATCGGGGTCCGAAACACTGCCACCAACGGCTTTGCTCGGCTACGCCATAGCCCATCAATACGTTAGTAGCCTTCGAAGTCACGATATTTACCCTGGAGTTTTAACTGCTTGTAAGTTTATCTCACGACATGGATCTCGCAGTGTGGATGTATTGGTTGAGAGGCCGTGAGGCTGTGCAGTGTCCCCTTGTCAGCTGAAGTGTACGTCAGATCTGACCGCCAACCGTTCACAACAGAGGATCTCAGCCTTTCAGCGACGCGCTGGTCAGCAACACCATTCGTCGCATGTAGTTCGCAGGAGGCATGATCCTCCCGCAACTAGATCCTTGCGGGAGAACATGATCGATTCTTGGCAATATCTCTACTCCACGACAATGGTCCTCCACACCGCTTGGCTATGATCGTGGCTTGGATTTTGCTTTCATGTCTGCCTTGATATGGCAAACTCCACTTCGTAATGACAGTTCACCTGATGGTAAGCTGGGTTATTTTGGGAGAAAAGAAATGCTGCGAGTGTGGACAGACATGGACGGTGTTGCGAAAGCTGAGTATCGTTGTGTATAAAGCATACTGACTCTTGCTCACATCATCGACACTACAACCTACCATCTTCTACATACTTTCAAAACATCCATCATGGCAACATTCACCCCTATCCCGCTTCCTCAAATTGATGAACCGGCAGAGTACAACACGAACTACGTTCTGTATTGGCACCATGTCGGCTTGGAGCTTAACCGCGTCACACATACCGTCGGAGGCCCGCAGACTGGCCCACCAATCTCTGCTAGAGCTCTGGGCATGCTCCAGTTGGCTGTACATGATGCCTACTTCGCCATCCACCCCTCTTCTAGCTTCCCAACCTTTTTGACATCTGGCGCCGACAACCCTGCCTACGCTCTGCCCGAGTTGAGCGGCGCGGACGATGCCCGCCAGGCGGTAGCTGGTGCATCTGTTACTATGCTGTCTATGCTTTACATGAAGCCCCCTACCAACCCCAACCCCAATCCTGGCGCCACCATTTCCGACAACGCCTATGCACAGCTTCAGTATGTCATTGACAAATCAGTAACCGATGCACCCGGTGGTGTAGATGCCGCGTCCAGCAGTTTCAACTTCGGAAAGGCAGTAGCTACTGTCTTCTTCAACCTACTCTTCCACGCCCCAGGTGCCTCGCAAGCTGGCTACCACCCCACACCTGGCCCATACAAGTTCGACGATGAGCCCACTCACCCCGTCGTCCTTGTTCCCGTTGACGCAAACAACCCGGATGGTCCCAAGCGGCCTTTCCGCCAGTATCACGGCCCGGTAAAAGCCCCCATGTACAAACTGCATATGAGATATACACTGACCTCGTACATTGGCGATTTAGTTCTATGGCAAGACTGCTAAGCGTTTTGCTACACAGACTGAGCATATGATTGCTGACCCACCAGCTATTCGTTCTGCCGTTGGTGAGCAAGCTGAATACGATGATAGTGTTCGTCAAATCATTGCCATGGGTGGAGCTACCGGTCTCAACTCCACCAAGCGCAGCCCTTTCCAGACAACTCAAGGCATGTTCTGGGCCTACGATGGCTCCAACTTGGTCGGCACACCACCCAGATTTTACAACCAGATTGTCCGCCGCATCGCAGTGACGTACAAGAAGGAGGAAGACTTGACTAACAGCGAAGTCAACAACGCAGACTTTGTCCGTCTCCTTGCTCTGGTCAACGTAGCCTGTGCCGATGCAGGAATCTTCTCCTGGAAAGAGAAGTGGGAATTTGAATTCTGGCGTCCACTCTCTGGTGTTCGTGACGACAACTTCCGCGACCCAAATCGCCCAGATCGTGGCGACCCTTTCTGGCTTACTCTCGGCGCCCCAGCCACAAACACAAACGATATCCCTTTCAAACCCCCCTTCCCCGCTTACCCCTCTGGTCACGCCACATTCGGCGGCGCTGTCTTCCAGATGGTCCGCCGCTACTACAATGGGCGAGTTGGAAACTGGAAGGACGACGAAGTGGACAACATCGCCATCGATATGATGGTATCCGAGGAGCTCAACGGGCTGAGCCGTGATCTCCGCCAGCCCTACGACCCCAAAGCGCCCATTACTGATCAGCCAGGTATCGTGCGCACACGTGTTCCACGCCACTTCTCTTCCGTCTGGGAGATGATGTTCGAGAACGCAATCTCGCGTATCTTTCTCGGTGTTCACTGGCGCTTCGATGCTGCAGCCGCCAAGGATATTTTGATCCCCACGACGACAAAGGATGTCTACGCCGTAGACAACAACGGCGCTTCCTTGTTCCAAAATGTCGAGGATATCCGTTATACGACTATGGGGACTAGGGAGGGTCACG